AAGGAATGTTTAATATAATGTTCCTATATACTCCTAAGTATAATTTTGCCTGTGGTTCTGTATGGCCGTGAAACTTGGTCTCTGACATTAAGGGAGGAACATAGACTGAGGGTGTTTGAGAACAGGGTGTTGAGGAGAATATTTGGACCAAAGAGAGATGAAGTCACAGGAAGTTGGAGAAAACTGCATAATGAGGAGCTTCATAACTTGTACTCTTCTCCAAGTATAATTAGATTGATCAAGTCAAGGAGGATGAGGTGGGCAGGTCATGTAGCACGAATGGGGGAGACGAGGAATTGGTATTGGATATTGGTGGGAAAGCCAGAAGGAAAGAGACCACAGGGAAGACCAAGGCGTAGGTGGGTGGACAATATTAGAATGGATCTTAGAGAGATAGGATCGGATGGCATGGATTGGATAGATCTGGCTCAGGATAGGGACCAGTGGAAGGCTCTTGTGACACGGTAATGAACTTCCGGGTTCCATAAAATGCTGGGAAATTCTTGAGTAGCTGCAGAACTGGCGGCTCCTCCAGAAGGGCTCAGCTCCATGAGTAAGTAAGTAAGTACTCCTAAGTATTCCTACTTATTTAAAGGTAATTTTAATATTATCTTCCCATCTACTCCTAGATTTCCTTCCTTTAGTTCTTCTTACCAAAACTTTGTATTCATTTCTCTTATCTCCTACACATGCCACATTCCTTGATCGTCTCATCTTTCTCGATCTGATTACACTGATAATATTTTATGAGGCGCATGAATTACGAAGCTCTCATGATGCAATTTTTTCGGCTCCTGTTACTCCTTCCACCTCAGATCTAACCACTGTCTTTAGCACCCTGTTATCGAAAATGATCTTTCCTTAATGTAAAAGATCAAGTTTCATAACTAAAAAAAAACAGACAATTTATAGTTTAAATATTTCACTCCTTGCGGTTTTAGAAGCATACGAGAAGAAAAAATATTCCGAGCTTAATGGCAGCAAGCAGTCTCACAATCTAATCTGCTCTTAATGTCGGTATAAGGCCGCGCCATAGCTCAAGCGGTTAGTCACTGGCTTCCCACCTCGGAGGCCTGGGTTCGAGCCCGGATCTGGTCAAGTGGAATTTGTGGTGGACAAAGTGGCGCTGGGGCAGGTTTTCTCCGAATACTTCGGTTTCCCCTGCCAATCTTCATTCCACCAAATTCTCCATCATCATAATCACCTGGGGCTGGTACAATAGGCCAAACAGTGGCCGACATGCCGAGTGGACCCAGCTGGACTCCACCCCCCACTAAGCGAATAAAAAAAATAATGTCGGTATCATCATCATCAGTAATCTGTCAAGACGACAGGTCCACAGTCTCTTCCAAAACAATTCCTCCACTTAATGCGATCTAGAGCTTTCTCCTTCAAATGACAGTATCCTCTTCTGTCCCCAAGGTCATCCAGCATATTCTTACGTCTTCTTCCTCGTCTTCTTGTCACTTCTATCCGCCCATCTATCTTTCCTTCGATAGCTTCTTTTAGAAGGCAGTTTCTGCGTAAAACATGACCAATCCAATTAGCCTTCCGTTTTCTTATTTCATGTAGGATATTCCTCTGCTCACTGACTCTAATTAACACTTCTTCATTTCTCACATAATCGGTCCAACTGATCTTCTCCATTCTTCTCCAACACCACATTTCGAAACTTTCCAGATGTTTCTGATCTACTGCCCTAAGTGTCCATGTTTCAGCCCCATACAGAGCTATGCTCCAAATGTAGCATTTCACTAGTTTCTTCCTCAAATTTAAGTCCAATTTGCTGGTAAAAAGATTCTTCTTCTTGCTAAATGCAGCTTTTGCCATGGCAATCCTGGATTTAATTTCACTAGTACACCTTCCATCATCTGTTAACAAGCTACCCAAATATTTAAAACATTTCACATTCTCCAGTTGTTTTTGGTCTATCTTTATTGTGACTGGGGTTGGTTGTCTCGAAATTTTCATTACTTTTGTTTTCTCCACATTCATTTCCATGCCATAGCACCTTCCAATTTCAATTAGTCTATCAATCATGCCCTGTAGCACAGTTTCTTCCTTAGCCATTAACACAAGGTCATCTGCATATTTCACAGTTTGAATAATTTGCCCTCCTACTTTGAAGTCACCGAGCTCATCCAGAGCTTCCTTGGTAAGGCATTCGCTGTACAAGTTGAACAGAATTGGTGATAAACAGCATCCTTGTCGAACTCCTCTTCCAATCTGCACACTTCCTGTCTCCCTTCTGTCCAGTCGTACTCTAACTTTCTTATCCATGTACAATTTGCTAATCAATCTTCTTTCACGCCAATCGATACCTGTTTCTTTTAGGATCTGCATTAATTTGGTCCAGTTTACCCGGTCAAATGCCTTCTGCCAGTTGTCGGTATATATAAACGAAAATATTGGTAGACAAAGGAAAGGCAGGACAAAATTTAACAACAGCAGCAAACACCAAAAGCTTGCAGTCTTGAGGGGTCATGATTATCCTTGTACGTGGTAATTTGTTTGTAGACTAAACGTCCTTGCAATACCGCACTGTTATCGCCGAGTTATTTGAAGAAAAAGCATGTGACTGTAAATGAAACGTCAGACGTGAAGGTGATAATTAATATTATAAGTATAGTACAAATATTGCAAACTATTTACGTTGAACAGCATAAAGAAGGCATATGTAGAGATGTCTGCAGTCGTTGCAGACGATTCTGACAGAGAAATGGCAAATTTACTATAGTACAACATGAAGACTAATATTCACTCATGCAGCCCACTCATCCAAATATGGATTGCCGCATGGCAAGAGTGGAAGAAATGAAGAAAAGCAGTGACTTCGTTCTATGCAGCGATGATTTTTCAAGTGTATGGAATAGCAGGATGATTTGTGAATGGATTGAAAAGGTTGTGGAACAAAGTGGTTCTATCGTACTTTCAGATATCACTTTGGCACTGGCATGGAAGAAGCGAGAAAAGCATACAAAAATCTGTTAAGACATCCGGTTTCCGGGCCGAGGTTTCAATCCAAGGCCTTCCGAATCGCAAGAAAGGCAGAACTGCTGTGTTTATCACCACCCATTTTCAACACATTTCAACAAACTCTCCATTATAAGTACGCAAATTACGAATATATAGAACTGCAAGAAACTGTCACATATTATCGTTCAACGAAGAGAAGACGAGGCAAGTGGAGGGTAGAACTAGTCCACTTTGACCAGGCTGTGTTCATTTAGGGGCACAATGAGTTTCACTGTACCAACAAGAAGAGTAGGATTTTGGATTTTAGGTTCCCATTGCCGATGACCATTAGGAGTACCATCATGTGGGATGTAACGCTGTGTGATCATGTAGAAGTCCACTGGAGGAACGTACTACCACTGTCTTCAGGGTCGATGAGTAAGCCAAGTAAGAAACCAGCAAAACGGGGCATATGTATCTCCCAAAAGTCGAAGGGACGGACAGTAAGAGTTCTCCGAAATCCATGACAATGTTTCCAGCTAGCATATTACACACGGATGTGTCTTGGTAATTTCTTCGCCTTCTTTTCCATACAGGAAGTTCCAGATTCTATAGATTCAATTTACATGTCACTATGTTGTTCAAACTCCTCAAATGGGGATTCGAACGGTAGAAGTTACGGTTATTGGCTTTAAGGTATATGATAGAATTCACAACATCTTATTTTTAAGAGGAACCGAATGACATGTTTTCATCGTATAAGGATTGGTCCGCATGCTCACTCAAATGGCCAAATACCAAGACGACCAACTGTAAGGGTTTCACTTCACGTATCTCAACTTCAGCTCCTGTATTCTTTCAAGAGAAAGTCTCGTGCATAGATTTGTAGCGTATTACTTGCCAAGACGATATTTTAATTTATGAAAAGAGACAAGAATCTTCGGAGAAATATTCTTGAACTAACAGTGGGCAGAGGTGAATACTGTTATTCTCTGAATGAAAACATAAGCAGAGTTTAAATTAAATCCGCGATCGAATGCACTGCGTTCAGGTTCATGTCGCCCAAACCGTGAGCAAGGCTGACTGCGGCATCAGTCGCTTGATAGACGTATAGCTTCAGTGCCGATCACAGTGGCCGCGCGGTCTAAGGCATGAGCAGTCTCCGCTGGCTCAAACGCTGGGATCGTGCGCTTATTCTGCGTTTGTGTTGTTCTGTGTGTTGGTAGACGCCTTGCGACGGGCTGATCCCCCGTCCAAGGAGTCCTACTGAGTGTACATAGGATCAAGAAACTGTAAAAGGTCCAACAAAGGGCTGCAGAGCCATAATGAAGATGATGATGATGATGATAATAATAATAATAATAACTTCAGTACATCAACTGCATGACTTCAGAAACCATAAATAGCAACCTGTATGATACTACACTACATTGACGCTATATAGTCTCGACATTGATAGCGTCATTAAATAACCATACTACCGAACACGATTAGTGTGCGGTGATATGGTTATTGGCTGCACCGGCGATGAATCATACAGAGAATGCAATCAGAACATGGAAGTGCAAATATTTCCAACATAAACATGGTGGAACGGTGCAAGCAGTTCTGTACATTTCATCACTCAACAAAAGACAGAAGTACAAAGTGACCGTATCACAATGGCTGCAACAATAAACTTTGTGGCTATGAAAACACTGAAAGTATGTTAAGAACACCTCTTTTTGCGGGTTTGTGACTTTGGGGCTCAAAAACAAGGACTCAGGTTTCAAGTAGGACGCTGAAATGAAACAGTCCATATGAGATAGGATTAAGTAAAAGAAGAAGAAGAGAGGACAGATTCAGGATTTGCTGACACAAAGACACGCACGGTTGAATGCCGACAGTAATGTGAATGGGTCACAAATAACACAAATAATCAACCATTATTACACACGTTGGCTAGAAGAAGCTAATGGTCGCAGTTTCCTGCAGAAAAGACACCAACAAAGATAACACATTCTCGCACGTGCACTCGTATTTACCAATCACGGCAAGATCCTTACCTTTAACAGCCACTTTACTGGAAACATTTACTGGGCGGAAGGTTGCTCCCGGTCCCGTTCTCAACACGGCTACATCATAAGCGAAGCCATCTCTGCTCCGGAACAAGACGCTAGCGGTGTACGCGCGATTGTTCCAGTAGACCTGCGCCTGATCATTTCGTGCCTGTGAAGAGCAACCGAATTGGCGCTGTGAATCGCTCATTATGAAGAGGTATTAACATATTCAGCTTTTGAAACACAACTGTCTTTATGAGTCACGAATCGAGGCAGCGTAAGGGCAGATTCCAGTACAATAAAAGAACTGGATTGCAGCACGTCTTCAATTCTTCGTGTCCTCTCGCTTTTACTTAGCGTTCAAGCGGTTTGGTGAAGATAGAAGATCGCTGGCACCTATTCTAAAGATGAGAAGTACTGATACGTCCGGACTTAGCTGTCTTTAAATGTTCGCTTCAAAGTAGGATATTCACTGGCTATAAATCAATAGATAACACTTCAGCTTCTTCATAAGGGGTTAGAAAAAATATCACGTGAAAATAATTTTATCTCTGTGCTATTCCGATGCAAATTTACTCATAATCAACTTTTCTTTTCTTGAGGCCTGGGGTGATAATTGAGGAGCTGCTTGAATGGAAAAGTAGCGGCTCCGGTTCATAAAACCGAAATTAACGGCCGTGGGAATCCGTTGCGCTGACCACGTGACACTCTTTATCCGCAAAAGTTGGCACTAACTTCGCCGACAAGCGGCGGTCGCTCGGTCGGTATAGTTCTCTTGCGGACTAAAAGCCAAGGATTTTGTTTTGTTTGAGGCTTTGAGTAGGCCTACTCTGGATAGGAATCTGTCCATCGCAAGGCCTCTAGGATCGTAGTGGTGTGCAGATATATTAAACGGTGACTTTGTAATATTTTTCTTTGTCCTTCTGCCGGTTCTGTCATTGTTTCAGCTCCGCAGATGCATCAGCAATTTCAGCGTCTAAAAAACTAAGTTTGTGCTATGACACGTAGAACAGAGGAAATATTATATAATAGCCAGTTGGGTGAATAAACACTTTGCTGACTAGAAAGGGGGAGAGGGCCGAAAGCATAATACATATTTTATTACTCTACAATGTGACCGATATTTATACAGCACCAACAGCCCTAAATGAGTAGTGAGCGAAGTAACTTACATGGCGAACAACATGGGAGCAAGTCAATACAATGCCATCACGCGAGCCCACGACGACACCAGAACCCCAATGGACACCACAGCGCACCAGAACCACGCACTCATCAACTGCAGCTGAAAGAACATACGTTACTTACGGTCACATACAATAAATATCTCAACGTTGTGTTTCACTCTGCAGCACAGTCACACGCTTAAAACGATAAAGGGGATCACATCTAGACGTCGCCCTTTATGATTATCACATATTATTTTACAAGCAAAGAACAATCTATACTGCACAACAAGTTGCATTAGAAAATTTCACTGTGGCTGCTTACATGCGTCGATTAAATTAAATAAAATGGCAAGTCTTTGTTTTTAAATACTGGTATTTATTCTAGAATATACTAACTTGGAAAAGGTGTACGTTAATATATATATACACACACACACACACACACACACCTTTTATATTTGCTTTCTTTATTCTGAATGTGGAAGTCAAATGACTTATCTATGAAACCACATGACGCTACAAAACCACGGTGAAACCTCGATCCTGTGATTTATCCCCTTTTTTCCCGCTAATAAAAACAAGTCTACATTAGGATCCCTTGCAAATCATGTAAGAGGTGGAAATAAAGGGGAATTCTGCGGTTCACATGAAAGAATATACGCTGTAACCTAACTAGGAGACGCCAGGTATACGTCTTCCCGCATGCCAGATTTTCATGTGCCATACAACTTGACACAGAAGCAGTAAAACTGAAACAGAAAAGCGGTCAGATTGTCGTAGTATTTTATACAACATACAGATGATGCATCATTGCCTTCAGTATTCGTGGAAAACAAATCATTCTAACATATTTTCAGTTACGTAAACTCTTCATCTACATTAAACGAGGAAATACATCAATCTAGGAATACGGGTAATTGTCTCAGAAGTATTTACTTATTTACTGAAGGAAGTGGCTATATCACGCACACAAAAACTGCGATGTTTATTATAATAATACAGGTACTATGTTGCCATCTGTGGAGTAATGCAGAATCCTCATTTTACGTAATACATATAGGTCTACCAGAATTTATTAATTGTTTATTATATAACGACAGAGTCAGTAGCTCAGACTATAGGCCTACAGAATCGAATGTTCGGATGATCAGTGAATAACATAGAGAAAATGAGGCTGTGGCAGCCTTATGTGGAGTACCATCCTGAAATTTACCTCGAGGAACTGAGGAAAAACACGAAAAAAGCTCATGATGACCAGTCTCCGGGCTGCGATTTGGATCCTTACATCCTAAATAAGAAGCAGGAATGCCAACAGTTCAACAAACAGGTTCGACGGTGTCAGTATCAAAGTGTTAAGATGATACACATTAAAATTCAGGATCCATGTTAAGTATCTACGTTAATCGTAATAAATTTAACGTTGGGCAATCCCTTCTGCGTTAATAGGGCTGATTACACGAAAACTGGGAGAAAAACGATGTATGTGTGGACAGCTTAAAAGCTGTGCTGTTTTTATTCGCTATCACAGTTAGGCAAATGTTTACTCTGTCAGATTTATTTTGCAGTTTTAAGGCCTGATTAGCTTCGACACAATAACAAGACGTTCTATTGACGTCTCTCACATGAGAATCGAAGTCGACGTCGATGAGAGTATTCACTTCAGTTATTCAGTACAGAGGGGGTGGGTTTCCCCATGCACCGCGACCAATAGTCTATTGTACGTCCCCCTTTAATTTCTACTGTCGCCATACCCTACCGATACTGGTGCCCGCTATCTCCCCTTTCTGCCAGCGAGGTCGGCCCTCTACTGGCAGTGGTACCCGATAACTCTCCCCTTTCTGCCAGCGAGGTCGGCCCTCTACTGGCATTGGTACCCGATAACTTCCCCATCTATCGGATGCATTGGAAACTACTTGGGTGGGAAACATTTTGCCTAATTTTGCTCAGAGGTCTCCTAGAGACATGAGGATCTTTTACGTGCCGTAAATCTATGACAGGGGGCCCACGCCTTAAAGTCCCCCCCGAAGGACCTGTTCCCTTAATTTTTCCGCCCTTAAAAATTCCACGACCTCGCCGGGTCCCGCGTACCTTGAGTCATGAGGTGGGAACGTTACCCCAAGACTACGGAGGCCGCTGTCGATGAGAGTAGCTCAATATATTATGATTTTTTTCGAAATTCCACAAAAAGGAATACAGAGTTCTATCTTCTGGGATATACCGCAGCGTAGTCGTTGAAAGTTAACAGATGTTTAGAAGGAACATGTTGCCTCCAACTTCAGGATCGAAGAATAAGCGGAGGAAGAAACAAACGAAAAAACAGATGGCAATCAGAGAAATTTCCGATAAAGTATGAAACAGGAGGTAAATGGAAGACAAATTCAGTTCCAGTTGATTCACCCGTAGGACAGAATGAACCGCCAGTATCCATTCTTCGACTCTGAGGATGGAGGCGAAATGTTCCACCGAACGTCGGCTGATTTTCAACGGACTACACGGCGTTATATCCCAGAAGATATAATTCTTCATAGACACCGATGTCAGAACTACAAATCCTATATGAACAGAAGCAGCAATTGCCAACATAACACATCTTGTACAGCGTTATGTACAGCCACCTTTATGCAGGCTATTCCACCAAACATTTTCAGTGACGTAATTGTTAGATTTTCTGGGTTAAGCACAATGCCGACACAATGATTTATCGAGTAGCCTTTTTGGAACTGGTACATAACAACATAACATAATCCGATGCAGATGAAACGTAGACCCGTGACGGCCTAGATGCTAAACATTAACTCCGACGAGTATAGAAAATCTTGTGCAACTTAAAATGCTGGTACATCATGCCAGCAGGTGTTAGCATCACACACAAATTTCACACCTGCTTTCCGATATAAACAAATGTCAAAGCGGTAACCATAAATATTGATCAGAAGAGGGTTTCTGTATTTGTTCTATTCAAACGGCGCCCAAATTGACACGCTATTCTCATGTGCCTTTATTTTTTATGCAACATAATAGAAAGTTTACTTTAAACATATACTGAATGTATTTTAAAGCTGAATAGTCAGATATATGTAGATATTTATTTAACTTGCATAGTATCCATTTTAATAGTAGATCTGAAGTTCTCATGTCGGAGATCATGGCGATTGCTGTCTTCTGGAATGTGACGCAATGCAGTCTGCTAGATCGTTCCAAACGTTTCTGAGGAACCTACAGCCTCAACATCGTACCTCGAAGGAGGTCGCAGGTTCCTCTGAAATTAAGGTACCGACCTATCGAACTACAGGGGTCAAACAAAACAAACTTCGTTGTTCTAGTCCGCAAGCGAACTATATCGACCGAGCGACCGGTGCTTGTCGGCGAAGTTAGTGCCAACTTTAGGGGACAGAGGGTGTCGCGTAGTCAGCGCAACGAATCCCCACGGCTGTTAATTTCGGTTTTCTAGACCTGAGCAGCTATTTCCTTGAAATAGCTCCTCAATTATCCTCAAGAGGCTGAGTGGACCCCGTTCCAGACCCACTACTTCTCAGAAAATCTGGTAGCGCCGGGAATCGAACCCGGACATCTGGATCTATAGCCACAAACTCTGACCACTAGACCACAGAGGCAGTTAAAACTATATGGGTCATACAAAAAAAAATAAGAGCCTTCATCTGTGCATTGTTTCTCATTGTTTTCCTTTTTCTAATACAAATTTAGACTTATAATACTGGTACCTAAATAAAATTTATGTGAAAATTAATTAAAAGCAAATCAATGCAATAGCATATTGTGGGGGAATATTTATACTGTAGACGTTTATCACATTTCCAAGAATACAGTTAACTTTCTTTTTAGCAAGGGACTGGTCTTGTCGATAGGTAGATGACAATATCACTCTGACATATTTATAGGCGTAATTAGCATAAAATTGATTTGTTTAATAAAATTCCTTAACGTGCTAATGTGGTCAAAATCCCATTATTCTAGAAAAACGTAAAGGTCTGAATTGTAGGTATGCAACTGCGCACGATGCAATAAACTTGTTATGTGATGCATTTCATTAAACACTTAAAAGCTGAATAATATTAAATGGGATTTTAAATTACAAGATTACAACATACTGTCCTTAAAACGCTATACAATTAGGCTGTAAATCGATAAAATTTTTCTAACTTGTTAACCACATATCATTCGTATATCAATCATTTGATTAACAAATTAATATAAACTTACTTTTTCACGCAAAATACCAACCAGTTTATTAGCAAATTAGTAATACTATTGAAATTTGAAGGCAGAACTTCGAAAAAGTTGGTATATGGTAATTTCCAGTTAGGTAACACACAGACAGATGGAATTCGCTTTGAGTTAAGCACTATAATAAATAACAGTAAGCACGCAAACAGTAAGTATAACATTTGAAACTGTATTTTGTATTGAGAGTTTAAAATATTAAATGCCAACTGTTGCGCATCTTAACTGCACAAATGCATGAAGAGAATAATAGAAGATTAAGGAACTGCCATACTAATTACGCCATTAATTACTGCGACAGCTATAAATATAAAGTCATATAAGGACAATTTCTAATCTTTTAATCACTGTCACTTCTGGGACTTGTCGCGGGGCGGATACTTATCTTGGCGAGCAATGCTTTCAAATTGCGAACCAGAAAATATTTCAGTCCTACGGCCATGATTTCGCATTCAGTATGCGATCCATTGGAACGTAGTCACTGTACACGACCACCGACTTCAACAATCACTGCTGCTTGTATTTCGGCGAGGACATTAAGGAAAACGCTACCTAATCCTGGAACGTGTTTTCCTGTGCTCTTATATTCAATGCAGTTACACATTTTAATATTCTTTAGACATCGGACATTGTCAAATATTTTCGTTGATGCTAAATGGTTTCTTTTAAAAGAATATCATCTCATTCTGTGAAAGTGATGGGCAAGACAGTCGGTAAACATCCTTATTTATAAGCACATTTCAATGAAAATTCATCGACACTAAACATTATTAATTTTTTTTTGTTCAGAGATTTATATTTATATGAAAGAAATCGAAAGTTCGTCACAAAATTATACGGAGACTCACAGTTTCCATTGCTGAACACTTTATAAATAGTCAGTTCACAATTTATAAAAATGAAAGTACAGGTTTCATTAAACTGACACTGTTACATAACAAACATAATCAAAGCAGAAGCCAATTATGATTCTAAAGCAAAAAAATTGCTTTTATCAGAGTATTAAATAACAGTGCCCCTTCTGTAATGGGAGGTATATAAAGAAAAGGGGGTGAATGCAAAAAAGTGTTTAGTTAAATTATTTTAAATTAGTAACGTATAGATAAGTATGCCTACCTTTCTGGCCAGAAGTGCAATTCTCAAGACACAAGTTTATGGAAGATCGGAAAAAATAATACGACAATAATACATATGCTGCCTAACAGTTACAGCTCTCTTCTTCCTATTTCGCAATATTTGAATTAGGCCCACTCTTTACTATAGAGGTCGCCGCAAAATAGTACATAATCAGACAAAAGAACAAACTGTTACAAAAAATAACTACTTTCTGGTTCTGTGAACGATTAAATTGACGTTTATCCCAAGTAAAACAATTCTGGGAATTATGCTTTCGAAAAGAGTGACAGACTGAACTGCTGTCATGCGTCTCGTCTCCTCTTCAATGCGTCGTTTACCGTCTCCAGAACCCCATCTCCTAAGTATTTGGTAGTGTCTTTCTGCCGTGGAGAGATGAAGTACCTAATTGATCCGGAGAAGTGTCGGCTGGTACGAGTGAGGGACTGCTAGTTACGGGCGCACCCGGAAACAACAGCCGGCGGACAATTGGCTGTAGTGCCACTCCCATAGTAAAGCCGACCCATTCGCCGCGCCACCAGCTGAGGGAGCACACCACCATCCCTACCAAGCGACGCTTCAGCTTTCCATCTCTGAAAGAGGAACAGACCATTCTGGTACCTAAAGACTAACTGTGTCAGCAGAACAAGAAAATTCAACATCTCCAATATCAAAAATCTCCACATAACATGATCCTGAGCCAGCTCCATCCATCTAACACTCCTATAATCCATTTACTAATATTGACTTTAATGTTATTTGGGACCGCGCCATAGCTCAAGCGGTTAGTCGCTGCCTTTTCAAGGCGGTGGCCCGGGTTCGATCCCGGGTCTGGTCAAGTGGGATTTGTGGTGGACAAAGTGGCGCTGGGGCAGGTTTTCTCCGAGTACTTCGGTTTCCCCTTCCAATTTTCATTCCACCAATTGCTCCACAATCACCCTCGCCTATCATCTGGGGCTGGTACAATGGGCCAGAAGTGGCCGCAGTACAAGGAACTTAGTCCCACCCCACTAGCAATAAAAATAATTAATGTTATTTTCTCTCCTCAGCGTTGTAAGTGGCTACTTTCGGAGTGGTTTGCCCACCAAAATTATGTACGCATTTCTTGTATCACGTCCAGTCCATCGTAAACTCTTCATTTCACAACCCTAAAAAATTAGGTACCCTTCACAAGTCGGGAAGCTCCTCGTAATGCGGGGTTTAATATCCTAACTGTTCTATTTCATTCCCCTTACATCCGAATATTTTCCGGGGTACTTCGTAAAAATTTAGTAACTACTATCATAAAATAACTGTAGTGGCTTGGCATAAACTAGTACTGAATAAATATTTAGTCAAGGGAGATTGGCTAATTATATTCCCCTCAAAATATGTATAATACACGTTTTTGTGTATTATAATAATAATTATAATACTTACTAGCCACGCCATACAAACATCTGTAGATAAGTTGTTCTGAATACATTTCGTTAGCGCTTACTTTTGTACAGTCACAGAGATTGGTCCTCCCTCGCAGCCGAGTGCAGTACTTGCATCAGTCAAAAGAAGACAGCGGCCAGGCCCAAAAACATTGCTGACGACGCCCTCACTAACCGAGTTATGGAAGTAATAGTTTCCGAATGGGGTAGACTCCACAAGCACACTCTGACCACGTCTCAAAACCTCTTCTTCCACTTCAAACATTTCGCGGAGAATGTCCATAAGTTCACTGTATTCACTTACTTCAGAACTTTCATCATCGTCGGTTTGGAGCTTAAGCAACAGAAACAAGGATAACAAATTCTTTGTAATCTCAGATTCTTTTTCAATACTACTCTCATTTTCAATATATGATATACTGCCCACGACCCAAGAAGACAGCATGGTGTCAACTGCGTGTGAAACAAATTGACTTCGCCATGCGTATTTTAAAATGCTTTTAAATTCTTTATGCTTGCCATGTGTATCCGAAGACAACGGTTGATCAACAGCTACTGCTAAAGAATTCATAACTTTATTTTGATGGTTCCGTACTGGTATCAAAGTATCCTCCTGAAACCCCAAGTATTTACTGGTGGGAGTAATTTCATTAGCTGTGTTGGTCGCATTTGATGCGATGACTGAGAAGGTGACCCGAGTTTCCATGAACGGTCTGTCTTTTATACGAATTAGGTGGTCTTCGTATGTTACGTCCGATACATTTTTCCAGTACGTCAGGTTTTCGTCAGTGCTTTCTTGCAGAAAGCTGCTCAAGATGCTTCCCGTGGTGAGGACCCAATTCCGACTCAGACGGATACCAGAACATCTCCGAGGTATTTTGTTTCCAGCCTCATTGCACGACACCAATACGCCAGCCGCGTTCATCTTCAATATCTGAAACAAATAAAGTAAGTATATAAGTTAAACACAGGTAATAAGGTCAACCTAAGAAAAAACTGTGAATACCTGTAGCGTAGTTGGTTGAGGCACTGTGCTACAAGCCGGAAGGTTGCGGGTTCGAGTCCCGATGAGGTTGATTTTTTTTTTTCAATGTAGCTAATCCTTCCAGTCGCATTATGGCCCTGGGGTCGACTCAGCCTCTAACAGAAAGGAGTACCAGGAATCTTCCTGGGAAGTAAATGGCGACTGGCGCGTAAGGCTGACAACTTCGCCATCTGTGAGCCAACTGTCTAAAGAACCGTCATACAACGCTATGGGTCTTCACGGTCTTCACGGCCTGTTACAGGGATAGCTTTACTTACAAAGCCGGGATAACTCTGTCGGTATAGTGACTGGCTAAGGGCTGGACGAGTTCGAGTCCCGGGGGGGGGGCAAGAATTTTCACTTCTCCATGTAGTCCAGACCGGCTCTTGGGTCCACCCAACCTCCTATACAATGGGTACTGGGGGCTCTTTCCTCAGGGGTAAAGCGGCTGGGGCGTGAAGCTGACCACTCACCTCCAACTACTGCCGAGGTCAAGAAACCACTGTGGATTTATACATCCACTTCTCATACGCCTTCATGACGTAGTGCTTAATTGGTTAAGCACAGGGACAATTTTACCTTTACATTACCCTCGACAGTAATATCTAAACAGTTCTAATAAAAAGTATACCCTACGCGTTCCTTGAGGCATAATTGAAAACCAGAACAATTAAATATTGATCTACAGCCAGCGTTTACTTCCTGCCAAGTCTTATTACTAACCGATTATCTGATACGCATAAGTTTGTGAAGAAGCGAATGGGTATGGGATTAATTGTTTTTCTCAGTGTTTCATCCTTATTAAGCCCTTGATACTGATTGGTATCTGGTGACGACCGGAAAATTGGGAGTATGACTACTTCGCATGTTATTTGAAGAACGCGTGTTCTAGGGTTGTTTTTTTCCCCCACTTGGCGCTACAGCCCCAGTGGGCCTAGGCCTACCGCCATGAACTTCTCCGTTCACTTCGGTTTTTCTAAATCTTACACATACGGTAGGACTCCTTGGGTGAGTGATCAGCTCGTCGCAAGGCCTCTACCTGTACATAAACACAGAAAAACGCACACAAACATCCATGGCCTGAGTGGGATTCGAACCCACGATCCCGGCTTCCGAGCGAGCGAAGACAGTGCATGCCTTAGACCGCTCGGCTACCGTGACCGGCGTTCTAGGGTTTCCCATGTACATAATTATATTGATCAATGGACTGACGACGAATTTCAGTCTGAGGCAGGATCTGTATCACACACACACTCGGGGGCATTAAAACCAATGCGTTCGTCCCTTCATCCATCCATCTATCTTAAAGTTACTTCCTCCTTCCCAACTACCGGTTTATCCAGCCAATTTAAGTTCAATTCAAGAATGCACGTGTTCCTACTTAATATATTTTAAGAAATGTCCGTTAGATCGGGTACATGTTCATGTCCCAGGTTATACGAAGAGTTATGACAGTTCGTAACCACCCGTTCTGTGCAGTTGCGGCTCCACTGGCACGCTGATACAGTACCCGTCGCCCGAATTAACAATTCAGAAAGAGAGCGATCCGGAAGCATTACACATATTTCATTGCTTTGCTGTGTGGCCGTTATTTCGTGCATCCAAGGTTGGTTATGAGACATACCTAACATAAAAAAATATACTTACTCCTGCAGTACTACATAACTTGCAGGTATTGACTGTATATAACATAAATTCTTATTGCACCATATCCGCAGTTCCTTTTTTCAGAACTTTCCTTCAGACAAACGCCCTTGATGATACTGTTATCAGTAGGAACTTTAAACAAAGGCAGTGCTGACAAACAGTGGTAACGCTAAGTTACACTATACCATAACAGAGGGAATTCTCTGAATCAGACAACAGGAGCTTCTGGTTAATGTTAAACATATACGCTAAACTGATAATTTTACCGGAGGGAAACTGTTCTTTCTGAGAAGGATTATAGATACCACGCCCATACATTTAACGCCTCTCTAAAACTCCAGACTATCTATTGCAACATAAGCGTTGGGGGAAATTCATGCTAAGTCGAAAACAGATATCGGCTCTAAAGCAATATGTCACCACGTCACGTGTCACGTTCATTTTTCACATAAATATCTTCGTCACCGCAAAAGTAGGTCTAAGCCTACTCATTCATCCGCTTCTCTTATACAGCATGTCCCGACTGCCTCTGTGATCTACTGATCAGAGTTCCTGCCTACAGATCCAGAGGTCCCGGGTTCGATTCCCGGCCTTACCAGATTTTCTGAGAAGTAGTGGGTCTGGAACGGGGTCCACTCAGCCTCGTGAGGATAACTGAGGAGCTATTTCTAGGATATAGCGGCTCCGGTTTAGAAAACAGAGATTAACGGCCGTGGGGATCCGCTGCGATGACCACGTGACACCCTCTATCCGCAAAAGTTGGCACTAACTTCTCCGACAAGCGGCGGTCGCTCGGTCGGTATAGTTCGCTTGCGGAGTACAGGCCACGGAGTTTGTTTTGTTTGGATACAGTATGTCCCAGGAGGAAATGTTAGTATTCTCGGAGGTCATAATAGTATTCGTCATTCTAAGCAAAAAAATGTATATGTATATGTTTCCTGTTCCGAATGGTCTCCGAGATAGAGCTATTTCACTGTACAGTACACTGTACGGACAAGCAACACACCATGTCCTCACACGAGTTGCAAAGTGCATTGATACTGACGGTGGGATTTTTGAAAATGTATTACACTAGGTAAACTGTACCAACTTTGTCACTTGAAAAATAAATACCTGCATTAGAAACAGTAAGTAATACCTATGTTATCAACAATTTTGGAACTGTACAGTGAGATAACTTTATCTGGGAAACCGTTTGGAATAGGATATGCACATATACACGTTTTTGCCTAGAATGACCGATACTATGACCTCCCAGGGCCGCGCCATAGCTCAAGCGGTTAGTCGCTGACTTCCCACCGCGGCGGCCCGGGTTCGATCCCGGGTCTTGTCAAGTGCGATTTGTGGTGGACGAAGTGGCGCTGAGGCAGGTTTTCTCCGAGTACTTCGGTTTCCCCTGCCAATCTTCATTCCACCAATTGCTCCACAATCACCCTCATCTGGGGCTGGTACAATAGGTCAGAAGTGGCCGCAGTACAAGGAACTTAGTCCCACCCCACTAGCAATTAAAAAATGACCTCCCAGGATTTTGAAATTCCCTCCTAGGTCACTCTGTATAAAGCTTCATACGCAATCGTCAGAGTGTTCCATTACCCAATAAAAGACACAAACACATTCGTTCGTCGCTCACATTACTAACTCCACGAAGCAGGGTCCTTAAGAAGCTAACAGTCTCTCAGATGGTCATGATTTCCTCTTAGTTTTAGGGAACCGAAAGTTCTGTGGTGGTGACCGGCATTTAGTACGACAAACCGTGAAACGAATTTGGGTACGGGTTTCCTTCCTACCAACAAGGGGCGTCCCCCCCCAAAAAAAAACACTTTCAAATTCTTGGTTCTTCCAGAAGTTCTCTCGGTTATAGCTACTGAAATTTCCTTTCGGTATAACGACCAAATAAATTCAGTATGTAAGTTTTTACTGAACAGACTGTGATCTCATGTAAGTGGCAACCGTCACTGCTTACTTGTTCACAAGACCATACATAACACTGGAAGCCTGCCTGTAACTAGAACAAAAACTTCAAGACTAACTTTAGATATGTTGAGTTGGAATGAATGGGAGTGTCTCACACGAATCGCAGTTTGCAGTCTAACACATTTTATAAATAACGGCTAGGAAAGATGGCTCGTTTGGTACATGTCTGGGCTAGATCAGGCTCAATATGGCTCCTCGATGTAAGTAAAAATCAAATTCAGGATTAAATAAAAATAACAACTAATAAATTATTTAAACTCTACTCATAAGGAAACATGACACTACTTTTTTTTTCCCCCTTGGCACTACAGCCTCAGTGGGCCTAGGCCTACCTCCATGAACTTCTCCGTTCACTTCGGTTTTTCTAGATCTTAGATATGTGGTAGGACTCCTTGGACGGGTGATCAGCTCGTCGCAAGGCGTCTACCTGTACACAAACACAGAAAACGCACACAAACATCCATGCCCTGAGTGGGATTCGAACCCACGATCCCGGCTTCCGAGCGAGCGAAGACAGTGCATGCCTTAGACCGCTCGGCTACCGTGACCGGCATGACACTACATTACAATCACTTATAAAGGGTGAAACTATAGTAAATTCACGCTCCTGATTCATTACAGCTAATTGTCATGTTCTGAAAGACTCGCCTCCGGTCTGTAGCCTCAGCTAAACGAATCCAGTCAACACGTCACGCCCCAACATTCTTAAGATCTCCATTAATATCATTCTCTATCTATACCCAAGTATCCCAAGCAGTCTCTTCATTTCCGATTTCCCGACTAAAATTTAACATGTATTTATCGTATCTTCAGTATGTACAATCATTCATATTGACTATTAAATGAAGAAAATGTGTCATCAAATGTGCCAGTCAGAAATAAATGAAATGTGTTTCGATAACTAATTCCACCCATGCCTTCGTTTTCAAACTATAAACAGATTACTTGAGGTTTTCGTACGTATCTATAAACATTTCAGTTACTTTCATATTGTCGATTATAAAAGCACTAATAAGCATTAAAAGTGTTGTATTTCATACAGAGTACCGCGAAAACAGACTTCAGAATTAATTAGGAAGAAGTGCTTACTTACTTACTCATGGGATAGAGCAGTCGGTATAGCGACTGGCTACGGGCTGCATGACCGAGGGGTGGGAAAATTCTTGACCCGGTAGGGTCAAGAATTTTCACTTCTCCATGTCGTACAGATTGGCTCTGGGGTCCACCCAGCTTCCTATCCAATGGGTATAGGGGGCTCTTTCCTCGGGGGGTAAAGCGGCCGGGGCGTG